TGTACTGTATATTGCTGGTCTTGGTAGTTTAAAGAAAAAATACACACCAGTATTCCATTTCTCCCTAAACATTTTAGGCACCAAAGTCCTTCTGACCATATGACTGTACGTTTATATACTTTGTGAGAAAAGTGATAGTTTTAAGCTTTTCTGCAAATACGGTCATTATCGGAGTAAACAAAAGCATACTTTTAGAATTAGATTAATAGGGAATATAATATGGAATCGTGTATCTAAAGAAATGAATAACGACATAATTATATTCAGGTACTGTAGCACAAAGTGTAGTATAAGACTTTCTATTGATAGGTGTATGGCTGTTTCACCACTAGGCTACTCTATGTCACTATGGCTGTGGCGTGACAGCTTAAGTGACTTATAAGCATGAGGTCGGGTGTTCAAATCCAGTAATCGCTATGGGTTTTCTTTTAACAAATAAACATTTCTTTAAAAAACTATAATAGCAAATATTATTGGCATTATATTGACATTTTTTATATTTCTAAATATCACAACATGTTCGTACTATATGTACACAGCAGTACTGCAGGGTGTAGGGCGCCTGGCACTGTGGCCGAGGAGCGCCCGGCTTGGGCGCGCTCTCTCTCTCACCTGGAGTGCTGGCTGTGCCGAATTTCACTCCACAAAGTCTGAGTCTCTGTGTCTACATTGTTTGTAAACAAACCGGTTTCACAGGTTTTCTCTCACCTTCTTTGTTCTCAAAGGAGAATAGGGCAAGTCTTCCAATGAAAGACAGTCCACCTTCACCACACGAACAGACTGACACATGTTTTCTTAGAAAAACAGATTCACAATGCGAAGCTCTGTCGCTCTTCTGTGTAAAAAAAAAACAGTTTGAACACCATGTTTTTAATAAGCTGCTGAGTAAAGAATAGGAATGTTCCTGCTCTCAGCAGTATTGTGTATATAGTTTTATGTACAGGCTGCGAAAAGTTTCACAAGTAGAGGTCTTTAAAATTAGGTTGGGAAAATGATTTTTTTAATTCTTAAAAAATAAATAAAAAACGAGATATAATGATGTGTTCCTGCTTAGACATTGGACGACTTTAAAAGCTATAAAAACAGGTTTCGATAGTTAATAACCACTTTTTATGCATGAATAATGGGTGATTTTTCTTCCTCCTGATCAGCTAAGAATCTCTGCGTATGCTGTAAGGTTTTTACTTCTTAATTAAATTTTAAAAATACACGTTTCGAATAGAAAAAATCATATTCTCTTGTCTTCCTGGTATGTAGAACAGATCAGCAAGTCTTTTTTTCCCCAATCAGAGACTTTGAAAACAGCATGCCTAGGCTGCGTCAGAGGAGGAGGCGGCACCAAGAGAGGGAGGAAGCGCGGAGCTCAGTATTGCACAATGGCCGTAAAGCACCAATTGCGTCTGCATTCATAACTTAGTGTTTAAAATTAAACAACATGAGTCACTTTCTTTTTTATACCATTTTTAGAAAAAGCAGGATCTTATTGTACTTTCTAATGACATTACAGGTGGAAACATTACAGATTTTAATTATCTTTAGTTTTGTTATACATTTTAGAAAAGTTGCATCTACAGTATACATACACTTACATACATCTATACATGCATATAATTATATCGTTATTAGTTTCTTTAAATACGCAATTCCATATTATATTCTCTATTAATAAAATTCTAAAAGTATGCTTTTGTTTACTCTGATAATGAGTGTATTTGCAGAAAATCTTAAAACTATCACTTTTCTCACAAAGTATATAAACGTACAGTAATATGGTCAGAAGGAGCTCATAAAAACGTTTCCGAAATAACCACGTGTAAGACTTTGATGCTTCCAATGTTTAGGGAAAAATGGAATACTGGTGTGTATTTTTTCTTTAAACTACCAAGACCAGCCACATACAGTACAGTTTCCATAATATGTTTATGTTCCTAAATTAATATAGTTTATGACCTTCAGATGCATTATGCTCCTCTTATTTTTATGCTCAGCTACTAAAATTTCCCTTTAGTTGTAAAATTCCATATAAATATTCAGTACTAAGCGGATTTAAACATGCACAGTAAAGAGATTAAATGATTAAATCTTTTCACTACTGACCATTGCACCACGAGTGCCCCTGTCAGTCATTTTGGCCAGCTAATCACGTACCGCGGTATGACTTAGGTACAGTAGTTGCGTGCAGTACGGGTTTGTACCGCACACTTTGAATGGCTGCATCTGTACATGTCACTACATTTAAAATTGAGAGCAGCAGACATTTTTTTTGTCTGTGTTGTCAGGCCGTGGAACAAGTTATCTAGCCATGTTGTTGAAGATAATACCCTGGCCTCCTCCATGCCGATATTGCAGTTTGACTTTACTACAGAAGTAGCTGGAAGGAAAGCTTAGATTCTTATTAATCAAACTAGCTAGATTGTAAAATGCCCTCTGCTTGTTTTTAACCTTTTCTTTTGTTCTTATTTTTGGGCACAGGTGTTATTGTGTGTATGTCTGTTTGTGCTCTGCAATGCGTACAAATATAATAAGAAAAAAAAGACAAAAAACAACTTTATTTAATATAGAAAACTTTACCCATTTTCTAAGGATAACAAATTACAAAATAAGCATATAGGGAATATGAGCAGTTAGAGGTGCAGCACGAGATACATGGTCATTAGAAAATGGAGCAGACACAATCACTAAATGCCTTTTTTGAGGGCTGGTGTTGACCAGCTTTTCTGCCACAGAGAAGGCAACATAGGATGTAGTCTGGTGATGTTTCTGAGAATTATATATTAACAGTATTCTGCACATTAGGGTCAAAAGTCATGCAAGAATCAGATATCACCCTTATACTGTATTCTTCAATTTTTAAATTCTGAAATTCACACACAGTGCAATCCACAGATTGTGTTACTGCATTGGTGTTTTGTAGGTGGTGGGAGGTGCCCAGTAGCATGAACGTAGTCTGTGAAGTGAAGCAGATTTTGAGTCATGCCTGATATAAGAGCCTGGATGCAATTAGAAAATTCAGAAACAGCTACTTCTGTGTATGGACATAGATTTGAGTATCATAAGCATACAAATGATAATTCAGTACCACGTTCAGTACCAATCACAAGTATCACCTTGTGATTTTAATATCTGCTGACCATGTGGGACTATGTAAATGCAGAATAGTAGTAGACTTAGTATAGAGCCTTGGGGAACACCAGACTTAATTAACTGAACTTCAGAACTGAAACCCCCCAGAGAAAGTGTCGGCAATCAGTAAGAACCAATTTAAAGTACTTGAAAATCTCTAAACACAGTCTCTAGATGAGAAAGTAAGATGTCATGATTAACAGTGCACTATAATGAGAAAATAGAAAATTAATATAGATTTTCAATATTGATTGAATGTTTCTAAAATAATTTTGATTTATTGACCATTTATGATTGACCTTATACACAGATATTTAATGGTTTTATAAGCAATAAATTACTTTATTAGTAAGAGAGCTAACTTGGCACAATTGATGAGGTAATGTAACCTGTTAAATATCACAAGATTGCTGAAAGTCAAGGAAGAATAGGAAGAAAGGAAGCCATCCATTTTTTTTTAAATCTTCAATTTTGAGTTTTTCATGTCGTAGCTTATGGTTATGAGAGAATAAGGAAGTGTAGACACTCCTCCGTGCTGCTCATATGTGAGACACTCATCTTTTATTATGTCACAGGCCACAATTACACATATTGAAGGTTCAGGGCCTATTGGAGTGGAGGCATTTTCTGACCAAAAGCACTGCAAATGTGCAAGTGCCCAGGAATCTGCAGAGGTTGCTGTGTTTGCCAAAAGAGCCCATGCTGACTAATATCACACTGCCCTTTGTGGTGCTCAGCCAATAGTGTGCCACTATTGAGGAGTCCTGGTCACAGTTGCCTAGTGATCCAGCCTGAGAGTTTTGCTTTAAACCCCTTGTTGATCTTCCCTGCTGATGACAAATGTAAGCATAATGAATGTACTTATGTCATGTGTATTGAATGTAATATCACTTGATACAATAATATTTTGTCCTACTAATATGTTTGTGAAATTATTCTTCTTAAAGCTACTTATTGTTAAATTATATTAATAATAAACTTATTTTAAGTAGTGTCTTTAAAAGCAACTTCTCAAAGCTCTTTACAGTAAACTAAAAAACAACAACAAAAGCAACAAAGATAGGAGATACAATTAGCACAAAGAAACAGAAGAGTTTGTAATTGAAGATGCAAGGGGGCAAACAAACGTTGATTAAATAAAATGCATTCTAAAGCAAAAGGTTTTGATTATGGTTTTGAAGGCGTTGAGAGAAGGTGAATGTCTGATATCTTTGGGGATAGAATTCCAGGGCTTTGGGGCACAGCATCTTTGAAAAGTAAAAATTAAAATAATTTGGTTTAACAGCTGTGTTAATCCTATACAAGGCTTCAGTTAATGTTAAGTTTACTGTAATTTTTCAGTTTTGTTCTGGGTCTGTATCAAAAAGACTTTGTTACATGCTTTACATGTATATAACAAGTAATATTTCTTTCCCATATAAAAAAATATGTTCTTAGAATACCAGCCATTTTTTCCACATTTTCTTTATTTGCATTACATTTCCAAAAACAGAGCCTTTGCAGATGGTAAGGTTTTACTAAATTTTTACTTTCTACAGACTTTCTATTATGCTTTTTATTGCTAATAATTATACCCATTTCCAAAACTTTACAAACATCTTTACATATGTACTGTCAAAAGGACTCACCCCCTAATTGCATTTGCAGTTCTTTTTTAGGAATATGGTTTAGAAAGCTTGTAAAACATGACATGAGGGTAACATTACTTTCCTTTTTTATTTTACCATGCTCATTTTGAGGGATGAACTCAAACCCTCACGAGTAACTGCTTGTGAGCCACCCGATAAATTCCTATTTCAGTAATTTTCAAAATTTTCCAGTGGATTGGCTGCTATCATTGGAATACCTGTTTGATTAACTAACTTTATGTTTTTCAGGTACTTCGTGTTCTACTGTCCCCAAGACGTCTTCTACAAGTGTGCTGCTTTTTTGCCCCTCAGACTGGTTCTGGCATCAATGAAAGAAGTGACCAGAACCTGGAAAGTGCTCGGAGGAGTTACTCAGGCACGAAAACATTACAACGAAGGATGGTTTGTGATGATTGCTGTTGGCTGGGCCAAAGGTAATAACTTCTCCCTTTGCTCTTCATCTGCCATTTATTTTCCTTCTACCTTGCACTCCAGTTTTATAATTCCAAACTCCTTGCATGTGGTTTTGAGTATGAAATCTGTATAAAAGTATTGTAACAAGACAGCTGGGTTTGGGAGGTGGAAAAGGGATGGAGCTGCTACAAGGTGGTGGTTATACATTCCATATGCTGCAGTCACATGAGTTACAGCCACACATATAAAAGACATATGGAAAGGAAAGGTGGTGTCTGTTTAGACCCCTATGATTCATTTGAAGAGTAAGACACTGTAGAAACCAAGAAATTCGAGCCTGAAGTGTTCGTTCATCCAGCCAAGCTTTGTTGTATGCATACAAGGAATCACAATAAGGACCGTAATAGTTATAGTACTGACCAGTGCACCACAAGTGCCCCTGTCGGTCATTTTGGCCAGCTAATCACGTACCGCGGTATGACTTAGGTACAGTAGTTGCGTGCAGTACGGGTTTGTACCGCACACTTTGAATGGCTGCATCTGTACATGTCACTACATTTAAAACTGAGAGCAGCAGACATTTTTTTTGTCTGTGTTGTCAGGCCGTGGAACAAGTTATCTAGCCATGTTGTTGAAGATAATACCCTGGCCTCCTCCATGCCGATATTGCAGTTTGACTTTACTACAGAATTAGCTGGAAGGAAAGCTCAGAATCAAACTAGCTAGATTGTAAAATGCCCTCTGCTTATTTTTAACCTTTTCTTTTGTTCTTATTTTTTGGCACAGGTGTTATTGTGTGTATGTCTGTTTGTGCTCTGCAATGCGTACAAATAAGGACCATAATAGTTATAGTACCTATCGTAGCTCCAAGGGGATATGGTCCTACAGAACTTAAATATACATCCTCCCCCCCTCCTGTCTTTGATGTAACCGAAGGAAATAGAAACCTTTGTCATAAGGAGTTTAGTGTAAACATTCACCATTTGGGTAAACATTCACTATTTTGGGGTAAGTACAGGGGGGGAAGCCTCTGTGATCAAGCAGGCATGATGGTTACAGTTCAGCATGTAAAAGCTGTTAGCAGGCTCCATCAATCCCCCCTTGGAAAATAGAAACATACATCTTCCATTTTCTACACAAATGCGGAGTCTGCTGTCTTTACTTCATACTTGTGTACTATCCTAACATTACTACTGGAGGTGATGTGGTGACATATAGCAGTGATTATACTTTTAATACATGTGATTATAACAATTATACATACAAACAACACTACTCCTAAAAACAAATATTGAACCATAGCTCCACCCCAGGCCCCAAACACAGACCTCAGCCATACTGTAAGTTCACTTTCTTGATAATAGCTATGATATTTCTGGCCAACTCTGAGATATGCTCAGAGTTATCTGGTAAATAAGTACAGCACTCTGCACCAATTACTCCACAAGTGCCGCCTTGAGAGGCTAACAAGTAGTCCAATGCTAACCTATTTTGCATTGCTACTATCCTTAGTGCTACCATTTTGTCATGCATTGCTTTTAGTCCGGAGAAGGTAACATTTGCCAGCTCTTCCAGGGTGGAAGCCATTTGTACTAGTTCTCTGTTTAAGAAACTAATACCGGCTCCAGGAAGCACTATACCTAGGTATTCCCAGTCTGACACTTTCCTTCGAGGTCTGTGGTTGGGTCCAAAAGGACTGTGAAGCTGAACCCGGACATGGTGAGCTACATATCCTAAATAACATGATCCACCCCAATTAGTCGGTTACCATGGGTATGCACGTTCCCACAAATAAAATACATTCCATTAGGCACTCCTAATCCAGCAGAAAACAAGAAAGCTGCACTAAACTTAGGACTGCTCTTATCCCACCCAGGGATCTGAAGAGTAGAATTTGAGAGACCAATATAGGAGGTGAGATTGCATTTACTCCAACCCATTATACAGTGACCTTCATGGTTCTCAAAACAAATCCCCCCCTCTGCTTATCGTTTAGGGTGATATATGGGAGATTCTGACTTAGGTTGTATTGTGGGCCATAAGACCCAGCAAATTGGTGGGTTCTAGCCCCCGTTCCTTACAATACTGCAGCGTGGTGCAGTTTACAGTAGTATCGTTACAGCCGCCATACTCAGTCATGTTAAAATCCCCTGTACGTTCTCTCAATATGATCATGCCTATAACTTCTTCAAGGCGCCACGGGACAGCCCCCATGGGGAGCCCCCCTTGCACACATCTTGGTACTGCAGTGCATACCCAACAGGCGCTCTAGTTTGTCTTTTCAGCTGTCAGATAAGACCGGGCCAAAAAGGTATTAACTCCATGTTCACCTTTACGGGACTGGTGTTCATGTTCATTTTGGATACAGATACACAATCTGATAACAGAAAACAAAATAGGAATAGTCTTCATGTTGCAGACTTTTCCTTTTCCACCGGGGGTTGGGCACATCGACAGAAAGAGGCGTGAATCCACCGGTTCTTCCCTTGGACTTTCACAGCGGAGTCTGTGGTCAGCAGCACTTGGTACGGCCCCTCCCACTTAGGCTGAAGCATCTGGGATGGTATCTTTTTAATCCACAATCTCTCAAGTCATGACCTCCAGGAATGGTCTTTCCCCAGGCTGCTTTCACTTGGTGGGTGGTGAGGTCATTGGCCTGTGAAAGCAAACGACAATACTGCAGCAAATAATCAGTTAATTGACTTAGATCATGACGATGGGCTACAAAAGTATCAGTGAGACGCATGGGCCTTCCGGTAACCACTTCAAAAGGGCTTAGTCCTGTGGTCCCAGCTCTCAAACTACATAGCACAGTGGGGAGGGCATCCATCCAAGAGACCCCTCCCACAGAATACTTGGTGAGTCTCTCCTTGAGGGTTTGATTAACCGTCTCCACTTTTCCTGAAGACTGAGGATGATGGGGGCAGTGTAGGCCCCAGTATATCCCAAACACTGTAGCAACTGCTTGACACACTCTTCCAGTAAAGTGTGTGCCTTTGTCTGAATCAATGGGGCAAGGCAGTCCTATCGCTGAATTATTTCAGTCAATAGATGTTTGCTGTATTATGGGCTGTTTCATTTTTTACAGGAAAGGCCTCAACCCATCTCGAGAAATGATCCACCATTACTAATAGCCCATTCTTTCCCTTGCACTGGGGCAGTGAGCAGTAGTCTATTTGCCAGTGCATAGAAGGGCCCTCAGGGACTGGTTGTCTAAGCTCTGGCACTGCCATAGCCGTGGCATTAGAGTTCTTTTGACACACATTACATCGCTGAACCACATCTTCTGCATACCTTTTAAATCCCACACCCACCCAGTTTTGTGAAAACCGTTGACACATTTGAGACACACCTGGGTGCCCCATAAATTGAATTTGATGAGCAACAAATGGCATTCGATCCCTAGGACATGCCGGTCAGCCAGTTTTTTTACATCTCCAGGTGCCATCCTCCTGGATCCCCCCTCCTCGCTCAATCCAGGTCCATTTCTCAGTCTTAGAGGCCTGAGCCTGTACTTCCTTCAAGTGAGTCGAATTCAGGGCATGAACATGGATGTGATTAATTTCAGTGGTGTCTATATACCACTCCTTCCATTCTCCTATGCCAGCTTGTTGAGTAGTCCAGTCGGCCAGGTTGTTTCCCCTAGCTTCAGGAGTGTTTTCTTTATTGTGTCTCTTAGACTTTACCACCGCCAGCTTTTCTGGGAGCTGGACAATGGCCAACAGCTCAGTTACTAGTTGGCATTCTTGACTGGTGACCCAACTGCTGTAACAAAATTTCTTTGATTCCACATTCTTCCAAAATCATGACATACCCCGAATGCGTAACGTGAGTCAGTGTATTTAGTAGCCATCTTTTTGTTATCCACCTTACAGGCTTCAATAAGGGCCTTCAGTTCTGCGCACTTAATATTATGATCTGTCACTACGGCCCATCCTGCTCTCTTCATTCCATCCTGATCTTTTAAATGAGGTACCATCTGTAAATGATATTTAATCCTCATTTCCAAAGGAGTGTTCAAAAATATCCATGCTCTGATTTTCCTGATCTGCCCAGACCTCACAATCGTGTTCTAACAAATATTCCTCAGATGGTTCAGGCAGGAGGGAAGCTGGATTCAGAGCTCCTTCTCATTCTATTGGCAGATTAGGGGCCTCCAGTATGAGCTGCCACTTACTCCATCTAGCAGCAGTAACTTGACTTACAAGGTTGAGAGATAACAATGTATATACAGCATGAGGACATCTCACTATTAATTGTTGATCTAGTACTATACCATTTACAGCTTGCACTGCGAAGCAGACAGCCTGAACTGCTCGCAAGCAAGGTCCCTATCCCTTAGCTACATCAAGGGGGCATGAGTAATAACCTACCTGTCTATATCTGCCCCCATGTTCCTGAGTTAGAATAGCAGTCCAATACCCATTTTTCTCACTTACAGGTAAAAAGCCTGATCCGTCTGAGGGAACCCCAGTGCAGGAGCTCACTGCAAGAGAGCTTTCTTTAAATCCTTATAAGCCTCTTCAGCCTTGCAAGGCCATGGAATGGAGTCATTAGGTTTCCCTGCCCTCTTCAACAAATCAGTTAATGGTTTAGCTCTTTCAACAAAAGCATCCACCCAATTCCGATTTAAATTGCACAGGCCCAAGAAGGAGCGCAGCTCCCTGACAGTCTCTGAGGGGGTGAGTTTTAATTGCTTTTAATTGCTTTTTGCCACCGCCCACTACAAATGCGAACCAGTCCTGCACCTCTTGGTGCAGGGGCACTGACCAGAACCCGTTAGCCATGTCAATCACTGAAAATTTCTTATGATCAGGGTTTAACAGCTGAAAAATTGTGGATGGGTCTGCTACCAGGGGTGCCAGTCTGTAAATATATTTGTTAGCTTCAGAATAGACCACAGTGAAGCGCCAGGCCCCGCTGGCTTTCTTTACTGGCCAAATAGGACTGTTGCTGGAGCTATGAGTGCGCCTAATGATTCCCTGTTTTAACAGTTTTTGCACAATGGGCCAAATTCCCTCTTCAGCTCCTTTCCTTATCTTATATGTGTAGTGTGCTCTCACGAGGCACCAGTTCTGTAGGGGTTTGGGCATTTACTGGGACATTAATTAATTGCAGTAAATCACAAAATGATTCTTTTAATGGCTTTAGAATCCAACCTTGCGGTATAACTCAACGCACACACACAGGTACTAATACAAGAGGATACATTTATTAATACATAGAATATGCATGTAAACCTAACAGATCTTATTGTGAGGGTTATCGAATACAAAAGGTATATATTCATTCAGTTACAAAGAGTTACACGTATTAAGAGGACATACGTTCGGTATATCATTCATTTAGACCATTTCGTAAATGAACTTGGTTATAACTTCTACATTAGA